GGCATTTCGCCATGATGATCTTGCATCGCAATAGTCATATTTTTTTAAAATACAATCTTTAGTGGTCATATTCTTTTGTCCATTTTTAAATTACTGGGACGTTATCTGATCCTCCTTATTTTGGGAAAAATATTTCAATAAATAAGTTTTTTTAATAAGCTTCTTAAAATAAACTTAATGCCCCCCTTTAAAATAATTAACGAAGGTGTTAGGCAGACCGGTTATGTACAATCGGTCCTGCCTATTCAAGTCAACAGATCATCGCTCCAGAGTTCTCTCCCATAAAGTATGCGCCGCTTCTCAGCAAGATAGTCTACTTCATTTACTGCTGGATGTTCAAAATGAGACCACCAATATCGGCTAGCTCAAATCTGGGATTAAAAATGATGCCATAGAAGCTGTCAACAATCTATGCAAGGAACTCTCTGTATTTTCAATAAAAATTCAGTAACACGAGGACGGCGTTTTTAATATGCCTGCGCGTTACAGCAAGTCAGGTACATAACTGCTGGCTTTTCCACAACTGTTCACGTTATAATTTTACTCTAACGCAAAGCCGGAGCTGGAAGAACAAAAAACCCGTTACAGAAGTGTACAGTGAAGTTATTTTATGCTCTATCATTCAGATAATATATATTCGCGGTATTCTAAATTTTATTTCTTGAAAATGAGAATGAATTTCAGTCGACATATTAGTTACGTTATTCATCTATCAGTCATCATCAACGGAACTATGAATCAGGAATGTAAAACTCATCTAGCGTATCTACAGCGACGGTATTATAACTTACGGCTGAATAATTATGCCAAATTTACTTGCAACCGGATTCGTCGAAATGAAAGCCACACGGATTGAAACTACAATTCGCATGAAAAGACTTGAACAACTCATGATTTAATCTTGAGCTGTTATCAAAATGTTCTTGTCTAACAGCTGATCGCAAAATATTCCAGAATATGAGCTGCAAACAAAGAATTAAATGAATGTTGTACCTATATTCAACCGTTTTCAGAGAATCCACTTCTTGGTTAGCATTGCAAAGCGTGTTCTATCATATTTTGTAGTTCATGGAAGGTGTCTTTATAAACCACGTTCACGAAGATAGTTCGACGATTATCAGATTAGCACCAATGATTCTCGCACTGCGAACAACAGTAACAATAGCAAAAGATCATTAAGTATAAAGGAGGCAAATCATTGTTCAAAAGTCGCGTTTTAAGACTCATTTTCTTTTCGCAAAAAAATTAAAAAATTACTCATATATTTAATCAAACAAATGCAATTCAATTTCCACGATAACTTTTCACTTTAAATAACGGAGGCAGATGCCTCAAACAAACGTTCCCAAAACTGTACCAGCGTCTGAGCTACGGTAGAACACAACCGGAGTTTAAAGCAAACTCTTTCGACATGTTTGCACCAGATTAATTTTGGCCGACTTCTGGGACTTCTTATGGTCAGTTGCGCAAGCAGTAGTTACTCTGGCTTTTCCTGGAGGTATTCGCAACAACTTCCAAGGCTATCCCAGCTGTGACTTTTAAATCTCCTTTGAAAAAAGGGGGCTATGCAGAGAGGTATAAGACCAGTGATTCGTCTCAGAAAGCCAATTTTATCCGCTTGAACCTCGGGTGGAGTTTATTCAGTCAGGTTAAGGTCTCCTAGCAATAGGTGAACACGAACATGAGGATCGCCGTAAATACTGTGATAAAGTCTTAAGACTTACCTCCGCTTTAATCACAACTGATCGGGCTAGTTCATACAAAATGCAGCTGACGATTGCAATTTGCCAGTCGATTTCTTCCTCGTATTCCTCGGATTTTAATCACCAATAAACACGACCAACAGACACATGAATTTCTTCCCCTGTTTCAATATTATTTCGTTTTCTTGAAGAGAGCAAGAGCAGAAAACGAGTAACCATCAGGATTTTCGTCTTAGATACGTTCGCGTGCATGCCGGCACTCGTCTTCAAACCTTTTCAGTGAGTACTGGAAGTCAGTTTCAGAAGATGCCAAAAACAAGATCTATGTAAACAGCAACTTTTTCTTAATCGGGTCATCTACGATAATGAAATCGTTGCCCTGGCTATGCCTGACTCTTCTATTGATGTACAACACAAATAGGAGAGAAGACGAAACGCAGTCTTGATGGCGACCAGAGTGCCGCTGGAAGGTTTTGATTTGAGGCAACTTACTCCTAAGCAGCAACTGCCATCGATCCCATATGTTTATAACCACGCCCTTGAATTGTTTTCCAGCATCCAGTCATAGGCTTTTTATCTCTATGTAGAGCATATGTAAACCGGATGAAAAAACTCCCACAATTCCTCAGCAATCTGGTGTAAGTCGAATATCTGATCAGAAGTGCTTCGGCCAGTCATGAAGCCACACTGCATTTCTGTATTTTCGCGGCAGCTATTTTCGAACACCTTTATGTAAACTTTACTGGAGAGATTCAATAAGATAAAGGCTGATAATTGGAACACTCTCTGCAATCTTTCTGCTTGAATAGCGGCACAGCAGTTCTCGTTCACCACTATACTAGCATTTTCCCCAATACCTTTGCAGTTTCACAGACATATGCACTTCAGCATATGTCCTATTCGTCTAATATTTAAGCACTTCAGGTTCGATTTTATTGATTCCAACAGCCTTGCCATATTTTAAGTTTTTATAGTTTCTGTCATTTAATCTACTCAAAGAATAGGATCCGTTGCGGACAGCTGTTCAGGCGAGTCTTCCTGCTGCTGTTCAGGGTTAAGGAGCTGCTCATTTTCGGTAAGAGCGTTTTCAGACCCGCCTTCAGCACTTTTATACTGTCCACATTGTCCATTTTTTCACCTTGAAGCAGCCGATGATCTGCCGTAATACTTTGTTGTCGGTCGCCCGGAAATTCGGTTCAAACGCTTCACGAAACTTTTCCTAGGTATTAGCTTTGGCTTTCGCCACTGCTTTCCCTGGCGCTTCTTCATATTGCATTGGAGTTGAAATCTCTTTGCTTTTAAGCCATTTCATGAATGCAGTCTTCTTCTCAGGCTCTTGTCCACCGACTAGTTTGTTTTTGACCTCTTAGCAGCAGGTTATTCCGTTTTAAACCGTGGCATACGGTTTAACA